AAGTCTGATTCGTTAATATCTACATTATATTAACATAGAGTCATTTGTTCTCATAGAAAATGGGTAGGACACAAGATATTTGTTAATTTAAAAATTAACTCATGGGAAGGGACAAGGGGAAAAAATGAGAAACAAGACCTGTCATGTAAAGGTACAAGTTCCCAATGATAAATGTAACTGTACTGTATACCTAAAATGCACCAGTAAACTCAATGAGGAAAAAAAATTAAGTCATGGGCACAGACCATCAGGCATGAGCTCAGATGGGGTATAAATTCAGAAGGACCTGAAGATGGAAGGACCATCATGAGGGCATGAGCTAAAAGTGACTAGGGCTTACCCAAGCCAGACTTCTTAAAAAGAGGTCTGTTACTCCTTGTCTCACTTTTTCTCCTAAAATTAAGTCATTAATTGACAGATATTTATTAGACATATTTCTCTCACATGTTTTTAACAGTATGGTGTTTGGGATCAATCCAAGACCACCCTCTCTTTCCCAAGACTGATTTAGGATTTCTTAAAGTTCTACTGCTGGCAAAATATTATGCAAATATAGGAACAAAAAATACTGAAAACTCAGGTTTCCGATGCCAATGCATCAGATACTGCCTGCTTGGATAACTGGTAATTGATTTTCTTCTTTCCCTTCCATGGAAGATTGCTTTAGATGATTGTTACCATATTTATGTCTTCTCTGTTCTCCTTGGATAAGTCACCCATTTCTCTTCTCATTACAAGGCCAGCTGATGCCGCCCCACCTAATCTTTCTTTAGTTAACTTCATCAGTTTTCTTTCCATCCTGTCCTTAATCAGATGAGGAAAAAAATGAAGGTTTCTAAACGTGTAAAAGAGTAAAGCTCCAGAAAGGCCAAACAATGATTCAGTATCATTAACTATCAACAAGATTCAAGGCCACAATAGGGCTCCAGGTATCATCACTAAACCAAGGTCAAAGAATGATTTTTCATTTACATAGTGTCACACAGTATGTATCTTTGAATGGTAACTATAATTCAGCCACTGCTAAGACTCACCATTTTTCTTCTAGTTGACAAGAAAATATATAGGCAGATTCTTGAAAGATATGTTTATTACTAATGAAAATAGCACAATTATATACTTAAGAAAGATCCTTTCACATACATGACTTAAAATCTTTATTTCTAGTAATAAGACTATAAAATTTCAGCAAAATATTACAGTAACATGAATTTAATTTGAGCCCACTTTGAATAAATGTCATTAAACAAGATGAAAAAGTAAAACCCATACTGAACATACATGATGATAATGTACACTACTGCTTAAGAATCATCACATAGCCCTGATATATAATTATATGTGTACTGTTATGCCTTTTTCCTATAAATCCCTTAATATCTAAAGAAATTACTAAATAGGAGGAAAAATTAGGATGCAAAATTATTTAACATAGGCTGTAGTTATACCACATGGTTGAGAGGAGTGTTTTAACGTGTCTTTTTACCCTGAAAGGAATGGTTTATCTATCTCTTATTAATTCATAAGAGTAGTGTACAGTTTTACAAAATTCAAGAGTAAAGGATCCAAGTGAGTTCTATACATCATCCATTACACTGTGTTATCCTTCCACCTTCCCACACCCAGCCAGGATCCTTTGTGGAACACAGTGTAGAAGACTTGAGAGTTGTGACCTTCACAACATTTTCCTGCATTCATTACACACACAGGAATAGAATGAGTTCAGATCCTGACTCATTGCAGCTGGACTGTGAAAGAAGTTGGCCGCACCCATTTCTACTGGGAATTGTTAGAAGCGTTTTAGAAAAAAATCTGGCCCATATTTTTCTTGGCTAAAATATCTCAATTTAATAAAGATAAGTAATTCTCCAAAATCAGCTGTTTCCTGTGGAACACATTCATTGTTTTCTTTTCCCATTGCAAAATGTAAATCCATTTCAGAGGCTGATAGATGTCAAAGTACCCATTGTTGAAAACATGAAAATGACACAAAAATACCAGCTGCCTAAAAATCATGAAATGGAAGATAAACTTGTTTTTTAAAAAAGCATTCAAATGAATAACTTTGTTCAGATATCATATTTAAGCCAAGATATTTTTAGAGTCTACAAAGAATATCTGTGTAGTTTCCATCATTTTGTCAGAAGTAATATTAAGTCAGGGTAATTCCACTACATCACTATTCACTATATGCCCCCCCAAAAAAAGGAAGGGGTGGGACAAGAGGAGGGAACGGAGTGGGAGCCAACCCATGGTGACTAGATACAGCAGAAGAAACACAGGTGGGAATAAATCAGGGAAACCTGCACTCATTTTATTGTCTAAAGTAAGTGGGATTTGGGCCACATAAATGTGAACAAGTATCTTCAAACCACTGCAATGGTGAAAATAGAGCATTATTTATTAAGTACATTGTCCTTTATCTAGAACCTATGAAAAAAAGAGTTCTGTAGTTCAATAAAAAAACTATATCTACAAGTCTTCACAGTACCTTATGAATCCAGGGGAAAAAAACCAGGTTATTTCCCATGCATTTTTAGTACTTAACTGCATTTTGTTGTTTTCAAATAAGGTGACTATTTTATTGAACATTACATAGCTTGGTTGATGACAATGTTATAACATTCAGAACATTTTATTCCTTAATCACACAACCTAAATGAGAGTTTAGACGGCTACAGATCATTAAATTAGTTTGGGGAAAGCTCTTTTAGAAAGAAGCTCTTAAGAGTAGTTTTGTCTATCAGACTGATAGCTCCTTTAGCCCTTTGCTTATAGCAGTGGATCTTCAATGGGGAAACTGCATTCTTCAGTCTCTCCCACTGTGGTTTAGATACAGCAGAGGTAGAATGAAAGCCTTTATTCCTAAACTGAGAGGGCTTCTGTTCTTCTTTCCCTGGTAGATAGTTTAGGGATTCTTTTACTCTTCCCTTTCAGTGGTATGAAGCAGATACTCATGCATCATGGATAAAGATTATGGAAAGGGAAATTACAGATGTGTGTGTGTGTGTGTGTGTGTGTGTGTGTGTGTGTGTGTTAGAAATCCCAATTCCCATTTGACCAATGGCTCAGTTTGGCTCAGTTTGTGCTTCTCCAAAGTGTTTCACTTGGTGACCTGCTCTAGACAACTTTTATGTCCATCTAGCAGGCATCCATTCAAAGAGTTCCCATCTAGACTTAATTGGTGATTTTAAATTTTTGTATCTAACACATATGCATTTCAGAAAGAAACAAAATCTTAGGAAGAAATCTTTGGAAATTTTACAAATAAAATCAAGCACTTAATAGTGGTAAATACCTTTAACACTTACAATGCTTTAAAGATAGTAACCAAATTAGTCCATAAGAAAATGTTCTAGCAGTAGCATAGTAGTGTACGTTGAACTAACTAAGGATCCACTATGTGAGTAGGGAGTAAGAGGCAATACTGAGATAAAGGAGCTACCTTCACACACACACACACACACACAGAGCCTCTTTCCCATATGTACTTTGTAAAACGTACAATAAACAATGAAAAAAAGAAAACAGATCTTGATATCCACAAGGTGTTCATTTCATTCATAATACATATAACCAGCCTCACCACCTAGTTTATGCTGATCTCATAACAAGTTGAAATTGGCAGTCATCATTTTGGGGAAAAAGGTGAACTCTATCCCTGGTTAATTCTATCTGGTCAGAAATAAACCAAAATGTTCAAGATTGCAATCTAAAATGCTGGCATTAGTAATAACCCACTGCCTATGTAACTCAATATTTTTTTTGAGACAAGGTCTCACTATGTAGTTGAGACTGACCTGGAACTATGTAGTCCAAGCTGGTCTTGAACTCACAGTGATCCTCCTGCCTCAGTCTCCTAAGTGCTGGGATTACAGGCATGCACCACCATGCCTGGCTGTAATTCAATATTAATAGTGATGATTATTTGGCCTTCTTGTCCCCTCAAAGATACCCACTCAAAAAAAAAAAAACAGGAGACAAAATGAACATTTCCATATTCAGTCAAAATTTATGGAAGGTGTGGATTTTCCCAACCTTTATAATTTTAAGAATACTTTAATTGCAATATAAGTCTCATCCTGTTTTGTGTAAGCAGAAATTAACTTGGACAGGAGGTATTATACAAAGGAGAAACAGTGAAGATGAACTGATCTATACTATTCCATCATTTTGTCAGAAATAATATTAATTCAGGGTAGTACCACTACATTATTATTCACTATATGGCAAAAAAAAGGAAAGGGGGGGACAGGAGGAGGGAAGGGTGTGGCTGTTTTCAAAATTAATATGCCAATAATTACAGAAAAAAGAGGATTTTCCCAAGATATTTTTCAGTCTCAGAATCAGAGCAATCTATCAGTACTGACTCCGTCCACCAATCAACCAGCAAAGCCTGCTCTCAATGCTGTGCCCTTGATCTAATAACCCACTCCTTCACTGTTCTTGTGATTAAATTTGGTTTCAGACCAATGGGAACCATCTAAACAATACAGAGATGAATTATTCCTGAAAGGTAAAAAATCAGGATTTTGATGTAGTTAATAGCAAAAAGGATTTTTGCAGTTTGTTCAAACAACTAACATTTTATTTACATTAATGTCTGGCTTTAAACTATATTAAACTTATTTCAAAGGATTCCCCTATTACAGCTAACAATAACAAATGATACAAAATAGTGACTACTAAGCCTGACTTCTCCTTGTAATAGTTTCACCTTGTTTTCCCACTGGGAAACTGGAGACATAGCTCTTAGGAGATACCTTCAAAGATTTAGAAGCAGACAGCAAATGTAGTCCTAACCCCCAGGTCTGGCTTTTTTTCTTAATAAAATACTTTCAAGAACTCATTCAGATTTGAATTTCTTTAAACACAATTCTTGGTCTTTATAGAAGTAAGAGCTGTCAAATTTCTTACTACATTCTGAAATTTTAAGATAGGAAAAAAGTATGCTTCACATTTATTTACTTTTTTAATAGAAAACCCTACTTCCAACAATGTTTAAAAAATCCAGGTTAATTTTATGGCATAGATTACAAGTGGTCTCCATCTTCTCCAGGCTTCTACTCAGTGTCAAAATAGGTACTTGAGTTAAAGTTCTTCCCTGCCATGAAAAAACAAAAAGCAATCCACTGGAAAAACACAGAAATACATTTTTGTTGTAATACGTCACCAAGCTACATTTCTAAAATCACCAATGCTTTCCATGTTCTTTCTGTGGAGGTAGATTTTTCTGAAGCTATGCCAAGTCAAAAAACAAACCAACAAAAACCTTTACAATGCCCACGTGATGCTTTTATTGAATACTAAATTGAGATCGTGAATATTTTCTTGGGTTTGTGGATGAGAGCTCTGACACTAAGTAAAAAGTGAAAATGCTATTGTGGATTATGGGATTATGGGGCTATGGGCCTAAGTTTTTCAATTTCATCTTCTCTCTATTAATAGTCCAATTAAAGCTGTAGTGCTTTGTACTCTTTCATCTTCTTCTTTCTCTTTCTTTTTTTCATTGTTTCATGGGATTTTTTTTTTATTTCATAGTTTTTTGTACATTTTAATGTGAGGTAGTTCATATAGCTCATCAAAAGAAACTGAAGCATGTAGTCCATCTGCTTATCCCTAACTAGGACAAATCCTTTGTTTGGATTTTCAATTTAAGGGAACACATTCAGGCAGGTGGCTCCAAAGGACTTACATAGGTCTTAGGAAAGACAATAATGTCACTCATGTCCTTTCTACTGAATACTGCTGAAATGAAGCCCTGGGATATTAGCTGTCAGGAGCTGCAAAGATGAATGGATGTTCTGGTAAGGGCAGCTACTGGTATTACTGCTCAGACAGCTTTCAGCAAGGCTGGCAACACCTCCTGGAAGCCAAGTCAAATTTTTAGAGGCATCTCCACCATACATACGAAATTTTTAAAGAATCTTACTCAGTTTCTTTAGATGGAAATTTGTTCCCTCTACCAGAGAGGGACCATGAGGGGAGGGGCTGCCTATCAGACAAAAAGTATTTGAAGCAAAAAGGAAGGAGGCTCTGTTCATGACCATGGGTGTTATTCAGACCTTCACCAACTTCTTTTACAAACACACATGAATTGCTCTGGTAGAAGATGTCTGGATGAGACCTACCCATGAGCAAACACTTCTTTAGGAATAGCATAAGACCAAATATTAACACTAAATTATAATTTCATCCACTATATTCAACTAATGTCCATACTGGTCTCTTTACAAGATAGTTTATTTTTGTAACTTAAGACTTCTGAGCACTGGGGAACAAAAAAATGCTCACAATGGTCTCTTTAGAAAATAGTTTATTTTTATAACCTAAAGTTTGTTGTGCATCTGGGGGAACAAAGGAAAAAATTACAGACACTTGCCCAGAATGCATGATAAGTAAACAAATGAGAAGAAACAGAATGAAATTACAATAAAGTTGATAAAGATGAAAGGTACTCTTAATGAAGCATATAATTAAAACATGCTGAACAGTGTCTACTTATAAATACTCAAATCTCATGGAAACCCATTATATCACTGGATGGTACTTAAGATTCATGGTAACAATAAAGAAACTATGACATAGCCTAGGGATTTCTAGACCAAAACAGTGTCAGAGTTTAAAATTTTCTCAGCCTTTCTATCATTATCATTTTAAGTATCATTTCATTTCTCCAAGGTTTTCTTTCCTCATATAAAAAAGTCTAACTTACACAGCCATTATAAGAATAAATTCAATTACAGTAATACCTCCATTCACAAATGCTTCTGTTTGCAAACAGTTCAGTTCACAAACAAAAGCATTTGGCAAAATTTTGCTTCCATTCACAAACTCCATATCAGATGAAAAACACGACCATGGCCATCTTTCCCATACAAACACAAACACAGACATCTTCCTCAAAATTGTAAAACAAATTAAGTTCATAAACACTAGATCTGTGCAGTCAGTCATAAACTCTAAAGAAGTCGATAAAAGTTGGGTATCACCAAGACCCATAACATGAAGATGAATTACATGCTGATGCTTGTGGCACTACTCTAGGACAAGCTATTAGGACCATGAGTAGGAGGACTGTGAAAATGCTTACATTGGATGCTCTCTCACAAAAGCTGCAAACTCAGGATCACTGACATAGAGTTCCAAAATTCTCATTCTCTCTTGAATTTCCTTTAAAAATAAAAGAGGCCCCATATTGCATTAAAACAACCTCAATAGTCTTTTTTTTCATTGAGTTTATTGGTACTTTGTAAGTATACAGAACAGTTACATTCATCAAGATCTTTTTTTTTTCCTCATTGAGTTTATTGGTACATTTTAGGTATACAGTACAGTTACATTCATTACTGGGATCTTGTCTTTACATGACAGGTCTTGGTTCTCATTTTTTTCCTCTTGTCCCTGCCCTCCCTTCACCCCCTCCTCCCCTCTCCATTTACAAACACTTTATTTCCATTTTTTCATTTTCTCATATTTTTCTTTTCCCTTATTTCCTTT